GGAGTGCGCCGGAGTGCGGCGGAGTGTGGTGAAGTGTGGCGCAGTGCGCCGGAGTGCGGCGGAGTGTGGTGAAGTGTGGCGCAGTGCGCCGGAGTGCGGCGGAGTGTGGTGAAGTGTGGCGCAGTGCGCCGGAGTGCGGCGGAGTGTGGTGAAGTGTGGCGCAGTGCGCCGGAGTGCGGCGGAGTGTGGTGAAGTGCGCCGCACTCCGCCACACTCCGCCGCACTCCGGCGACTTTTTTGACGAATTATGAGCGGTATTGTATATGAAGTGAGTGGAAGGAAATATACATATATTTGGTGTATAATAACATCAAAAAGTGGGCGGGGCTTACAGTTCACAGCTAAACAGCGATAAAATCGATATTTTGAGCTTAGAGAACTATCAAACCTCAAAAATCGATAAAATCGACATTCTGGAGGTTGCAAAATCCCGAAAATTGGCGAAAATCGATATTTTGGAGGTTGCAAAATCCCGAAAATTGTCAAAAATCGATAAAATCGACATTTTGAAGGCTGCGAAATTTCGAAAATTGACAAAAATCGATATCCCAAAAATGGCAAAATTGATAAAATCGACATTTTGAAGGTTGCAAAATCCCGAAAATTGTCAAAAATCGATAAAATCGACATTCTGGAGGTTGCAAAATCCCGAAAATTGGCGAAAATCGATATTTTGGAGGTTGCAAAATCCCGAAAATTGTCAAAAATCGATAAAATCGACATTTTGAAGGTTGAGAAATTCCGAAAATTGACAAAAATCTATATCCCAAAAATCGGCAAAATTGATAAAATCGACATTTTGAAGGTTGCAAAACCCCAAAAATCGGCACAAATCGATAAAATCGATATTCTGGAGGTTTCGAAATTTCGGAAATCAGTAAAATTATTGAAAAACTAAGCGAAAAATTCGAAAAACTCCATAATAAGCTCATTTCCAGTGCTTTTATACAGCTGAAACTTTTCCAAGCAAGCTCCGCCCACTTTATACCCCACGCCACGATCGAAATTGGAGAAAATAAGAAAAATTAAAAAAAATAAGCGAAAATCGCGTTTTTCTAGCCCGATTTACCCCCTTTTTTAGCCGTTTTCAGCCCCTAACCAGGTCCAGATGGCCGCGGGAAAACTGTACACGAAGCGGTAATAAAGAGAGGGGGAAAAATAAGGGGGGAGAGAGAAAGGGGGGGAGAAAGAGGAAAAATCGCGTGTCTAAGTTTTTTTTTTTTTTTTTTTTTGTCCGGGAAGGTTCATAGATAGGCTCCCACAGCCGGAGCCCCTACATTTTCTCCGAATTATATGTGGTGTCCCCCTCGAATACAAACTGAAGAATGGCTATCCCAGCTCGTCATCCCTACTCTCCGCGGAGATAAAATTCAAAATATGCACTATCGCCTTTATATAGCGCCTCTTACGCTGGAGCTGTGAGCACGAGCTACCCCTAGAAAAATAGAGCTACCAAAACTACATGTCAATGGCCACATGAGATTACCCCAGCCCTGCAACTCTTAGAGATATAAGGCGCCGAAATCGCCCTTATTGACAGATTTCCCAAGTTCGGCTGTCAATTAGGCACTTTTAATGGAAATTTGTTATTCTACGACCTTCTCTCTAAAAATCATATTTTCAGAGATCTGTCGAATAAAACAAACCCCAGCCCCGTAGCTGTAATATTCGCAGAGTTATTAGCCCCCCAACATGCATGCTCAGGCCGTAAAATCGGCTCTCCCAAAGTTGCTCCGTAATTCCCCCAAAAATCATGTTAGACACCTCTCTTATACCTATACACACCATATTTTTTCCAGCTTCTTAGAAGCAATACACACTGATATAGCGCGCTCTTGGCCTCTCGCTCCTCACTCTTGGTCTCGGCGTAAGATTTGGTTAAAATATTGAAGTTCTCGGATTGACTGTAAACTTCACTCATAGTGGTTTTTGGTCCCGATCTTTACGAAAATCCTATTTATTTTGCACTAGAGAGTCTTACAGTAAGCTAAAGTGAGATAGAAGTAGCTGGACCAACCAAGATCACAACTTCGCCTGCACTTTTCCCCTACCTGTTGCGGAAATTGTCTGCAAATTTTTGTGAGTTGAAAACTTTGTGAACACCTCTATCGGACCATGCTTAGCACAGATCTTTATTTGAATTGTTCGTCAGATTATGATGTTACAAAATCGCCTTCTCATGAATTGTCTTTCAAATTCGAAGGTCGTGTAATTTGGCAGATATTCTATCCTACAATGTGCCACCAGCAGCAAAACAATATAAGAAATGTTGTTAGCACGTCGAGTACAATACCGCTTACAGAATGTGCAAAATTTCCCTGAATATCGCAAAATTCCGAAAATTCCATAACAGACTGCTCTACATACAATACCGCTCATAATTCGTCAAAAAAGTCGCCGGACTGCGGCGGAGTGCGCCGGAGTGCGGCGGAGTGTGGTGAAGTGTGGCGCAGTGCGCCGGAGTGCGGCGGAGTGTGGTGAAGTGTGGCGCAGTGCGCCGGAGTGCGGCGGAGTGTGGTGAAGTGTGGCGCAGTGCGCCGGAGTGCGGCGGAGTGTGGTGAAGTGTGGCGCAGTGCGCCGGAGTGCGGCGGAGTGTGGTGAAGTGCGCCGCACTCCGCCACACTCCGCCGCACTCCGGCGACTTTTTTGACGAATTATGAGCGGTATTGTACTCATCCATATTCCAAGTATTCTTGCAGGCATCGGTGGGATTGTGTGAACAACCATCACCAAGCTGCTGGAGGCTGGAAAAGGACTCAACGGAAGGACTTCATTTAAGCACAACGCCCTTGTTCAGGTATGTCGAACTTCTTTACTTTGAATGCTTGGATTTAAATAATAACGCAAGTAATTTAAAACTATTACTTTGTAGAAAATATGCACTGGATCTAAATAAAGCAGAATGATTAGGTAGAAATATATCAAAACGGGATGTCACCGAAATTTACAAAATGATCTATAAGTTCTTGGTGAATACTGAAATATTTTTAAAAAATTTCAGATTCAGAGTATTAGGTGACCAAAAGGACGTTCGCCAGTTTTTCAAAATTCATAACTTTCTTTCTATTCGATGGATCTCTTTGCATATATTCATCTAAGAGAGGAAATTATATTCTTTACAGCAATACTTTTGCCATGGATTGGCATAAAAAAGTGCAAAAGCTGGAAGCAATTGAAGAAAATTACTCAAAAATGGCATTTTTCAGGCAAGGTCACCAAAAAATTCTGAAAGTATTTTTCGATAGATAAAGCTATGCTCTTTACTATAGTGCCTTTTCCAAAAACAAAAAAGATTGAGAATTCGAAGCAAATAAAGGGAATTAGTTCAGTTATGCAACTTTGGGGAATGCTCAAAAATGCCCAAAACGTCGCAGAAAAGACGGGAAAGTCATTTGAACATGGGTTTAGTGACCTCTTTAGTTGAGAGAAATTCGTGCCTATCGAGAGCATTTTTGATTTTCGTAATATTACCGAGTTTTCGGATCTGATTTTTTACGAAAATTAAGATTTCTTTCGATTGGCACGATTTTCTCTCAGCTAGAAGGAGCAAAACCCATGTTTATGACTGTCCCGTCTTTTCTGTGACGTTTTTAAGCATTTTTGAGCATTCCCCAAAGTGCAAAACTGATGTAATTCTCTTCATTTGCTTCTAATTCTCAATCTCTTTTGTTTTTGGAAAAGGCACTATAGCGAAGAACATTTCTATCGAAAAATACTTGCAGTATTTTTTGGTGAGCCTGCTTGAAAAATGCCAATTTAGAGTAATTTTCTACAATTGCTTCTGACTTTCGAACTTTTTTATGCCAATTCATGGAAAAGTACACTGTAAAGAGAATGATTTCCTCTCTCAGATGAATATAAACGCAAAGAGATCCATATAGAAAGAAAGTTATGTCTTTTTGAAAAACTGGGAATGTACTTTTGGTCCCACCTAATAATTGTGGACAATTTTCGAAGAAGCTGTGCTAAAAATCAAGGTGGTATAAAAATTGTAACCGCAAAAATTCAACCATTCCTGAATTTTCCTTTGCTGGAAATGGCCACACGCCCACTAACCCAAATAATTCTTTGTCCCCTCCCCCTTGAAAAAGTTTCTCGCACCGCCACTGCTTTAGTATATCTATCCCTCTCTACTCCTCTGTTTTTTGCTGTTTTAAATGCTTTTCTCTCTCCCAAATACTTCCTACATCTTCAACGGATCCGCGCATGTTTTTTCGAATTCGTGTTTCCAATAGTACCTACCTGAAGTACCTTATAATGGAAGCAAGCTCTAGAGATAGAAGCCGGAGAAGAAAATTACTCCATTCTCAAAATTTCTGCGTTTGGTCGCAAGAAACTCGCATAAATCGGAGCATTATAGGTCTTCCTGCTCCTTCTCACTGTCCAAGTTTGCGCTGATTGAATCTCTTTATGAAAAGTTATGATTTTCGAAGCAAATGCCAAAAAATCATATTTACTCTTTTTTACGGCTTCCTCAAAAACCATAACTTTTTAAGGGACGTTCAATCAACGCAATCTTTGTACGCTGAAAAGGAGTAGGTAAGGGACCGGCCATACTATTCCAGATGATTCCTGCTATTCCTGCGATTCCTGTGATTCCCGCACAGTTTAGGCGCCGCTTAAACGAGCGCGTTCTGCGTTTGTCATTTGGTGCCGCGTAAGGCAAAATCGAGTGATTCAGTATTTTGCTGTGAACGTCCTTTTTTCTAATTGTAGGCATATTCACACCTCGCTATCAATATGAAGATGTTTTAGAGGTGTTAACGAACGATACACCAGTTTCAGATCTTGCGTTTCACCGAAAACAAGTGTTGCTTTCACTACATTTATAACTCTAGGTCGTGATTTCTCTCTACATTTATAACTTTATGTCGTGATTTGCAGCATAACAACTTCATGTCGTGATGTTAGCTTTCTCTACATTTACAACTTTATGTCGTGATTTGCATTATAACTTTATGTCGTGATTCCTTATCTCAAAGTTCTCTTTTGCAGGCAGGATGAACATCAGAGAACACATTGCAATTTTAGTGGAAAAGCATCCGAACCTATGGTTGCCATCGCATGATGACTATCACAATAGGGACCTACGCGCAGCCACATGGAACAAAATTGTCGATTTGTTGCTTGAACGTGGTATCGCGGCTGATTGTAAGTTAATTAAAACTTTTTTTCGACTTTATCAAGGTTCGTTTCAGTAGATGATGTGAAAGTGAAGTGGAAGGCGATGCGCAGTGAGTAATGAAGTGCTGAAGAGGAAAATCAGGACAAGCAGCAAATTGTAAAGGAATTTTCAGATATCTGGCATTTCTGGATCAAGCAGAAGTGGACGCGTACGTCTCTCTAACGCCACTGATTTTGAAGACGAAAACTGCTGTATTTCAGGCCGCGAGTTTCGAATTTAGATGTGAGCGATGAGGAGCACGTGAACGACGAAAACCGTAGACTATGCTCTTCTTACACAATACATCTGAACTGTTTTAGATTTTACATCGACTAGTTCTCAATACGAATCAACGAACCGAAAGAGGCCTGTTGAAGAAATAGAGATACCGCTACTTGGACAACTTTCTGAAAAGAAAAAGACCCACACACTGAAAAGATCCCGAGTGGTTGACATGTGTGATGAAGGTAAGATACTTCCCCACGCATTCTTCAACTGATTTGCTCGGTTTCAGATAGAGGTGCTTTCCGCGAGGTCATTAACACAGTTAAAGAAGGAGTGGAGGCGGTCAGAAGGAATGACAAGTTCGATACGTTTGGTGAGTTTTCAGGCTCAATTGATCGAGCTATTCGGTGTTTTCAGGCATTTTCGTGGCTCAAAACCTGAGAGATATGGACGAAGCGAAAGCTCAAGAGAAGATACATGTCATAGTAACGACTCTGGGTGACGGAATTTAGACATGTCACTACACCGCAGGAATTTCGCCAGTGCTTGGAAGAGGCATATCAATCTAAGAGCAGTCTCCCAATCCAAGTAGTCAAGCACTACGAAGACAATGTAAGAGAACCAACTCCCGAAAAATTTTGAGTGCATTTTCTTTGTTTACTTTTCATTTTTTTTGTTACCAGTAGCATTAGCAGTTCCACACTTTGAGAAGCATTCGATAAACTCTTTAGTAAGATTCTTAGTCCTTGGATCTCGGTGAAGTACGGTTGATACGATACGGTTTACATTTTCCAAAGCTTTTGTACAGTAAGAAGAAGTAAAAGTTTATCGTGATTATATACATCACTTCGTATAAATGGCATGTGTGTATATGTTGACAACGATTTAGGAACGAAAGCAGTGTAGGCACGCAGATGTATTTACAGACCGAAGTTCGGCTTCATACAAGATATACTCGAAAACGCTTATTGATGATGGGGAAAAGCGGCAATATAAAAGACAGCTAAGATGGAAGTAAGGTTTCATCCCAGGATTAAGACAATTCGCAAGTCTCATCTTTCATGACCGTATAAATCAACGTAGTATTGCGTTATAAGATCTCTCGCAGCACCGCCTGTTTGTAGAAGATCCGTGTTCCTCAGTGGATGGTACGCGTTTTGTGCAGGTCTAAATCTCTCCCTTCTGCCAAGCTGTCCTGTCTTCGGGGAAGCATGTTGTGAAGGATCTATAGCCATTGCGCAATAACTCAATGTTAGGAATCGGTTCAATAGTCAAATGGGCTAACCATGAGGGAAATAACCAGCCGCTTAGCTCGCTCTGGAGTCAAGGTCATCCGCATCATCAAAATTTGGAAACGCTGAGCCAGCAAACCAAAGGTGGATTTTATCATATGCCGAGCTCTAAATACTATTCCTCCACATCGTCATGTCGAGTAGGTGATAAGTTACCCGCTTAATTGTCGGTTGGATCGGTCGCCTTTTATCTCCTGTAGTCGTTTCGGGCTCTCTATACGGTCGGATAAATCTGCGGCCCTGAGCGAAGCCGCCGTCCACCAGGAAATGATATTGGACAGGGCCCACTCTTCCAAGCCCTCTCGTGGGAAGGAAAACATCATCGTGACGTTCCAACCATCTCTGAATTCCCGAATCAAACCTCCGTATTTTCGCATTAGCGAACCAAACCTTGATAGCGGAATTCCGAAACACGCCAGCATCACTACGGCGACCAGGAGCTCCAACGTCGTACGCCAAGCGATAATCACAATCGCATATTGCCAGGAGAATGATCGAGTGGTAATGTTTGTAGTTCCAGTACATACTTGCAGAGCGGGCGGGCTTCTAAACACACATTGTCGTTGTATACATCTTGCATAAGCACTGAGAACCTGGATATTTATGTGCTTGCCGTCCATGAACCCCACCGCCCTGAGAGGTAGTCAAACCGTGCCTGTGTCTTTCTGGCTACTCCCTCTAGTCTCGCACGTGTTAGAAGTGGAAAAGCAACATTATGCAGAACTGAATCACGATTGGTGGTAATGTACAGGGTGTCCCAAAAAATGTATCGAACGTTTGATCGTTAATATCTCTCTTCCCAAGAAGTCTTTTGCCTTGCTTTAAGTACCGTTTTGTAGAGCTGGCTTCAACTTAGATTTGCATTCTAGAACGAATCACCCATCTCTCTTCATTACTGTAGGATTACGTAGAAACTTGAAACATATGGTGTCAATGTGGAAAAAGCTGCCGTTTCAAATTTTTTCAAAAAATTGTGAAAACTTGTGTAATAGGGTTTTTAAGGACGCCGAGTTTAATGCTCCACTATTCACAAGACTACGAAGCTTTTTAAACGGTGTAATCGTACTTTCTAGGGACATTAAAAATGGCCGCTACCTCTTACCTGGCATAACTCTTCAATGAAGCATGATAATAAGTTGGAAACTTCACAATTATAATCAGCAACTCTAATTAGCCTAGTGTAAAAGCTTCCAGGCTGTTTTGTTTTCTTTCTAAGGCAAAATATGGCCTTTCATTACTTAAAACCCTCTTTGAAGTTTCTACCGTAATCCTACAGTAATGAAGAGAAATGAGTGATTCGTTCCATAATGCAAATCTAAGTTGAAGCCAGCTCTACAGATTGGTACCTGAAGCAAGGCAAAAGACTTCTTAGGAAGAGAGATATTAACGATTAAACGTTCGATACATTTTTTTGGGACACCCTGTATATAGCTAATGTTCTGCTTATACCCCTTATGATGGCTTCTGCCACCTCCTCTACCACATTCGATACTGTTGTTTTCCCCATCCTTATGTCCAAAGCATAAGCGGTGAAAGTCCTCCTCTGCGTTACAAATCTGAAGGGGCAATGCATGTTATCAGCGGTTCAGTTCACGTTATCAGTTCCCCAAGCTTTTACCTGAGGTAGATCATCAGTCTGTGACGGCCGGTTACTGGACCAAGATGAGTACGAGGATGCTCTAACCCACTTCCTATTCTTTCGTAGAGGCCCTCTTCATCAGGCAAGAGCTTGATGAATTCGAGAAAACCCTCAGGCCTCCTCGTAACCAGGTATTCGTCAAAAATCCGGAAGCGAGTTTCAACGAATCGAATGTGCTCTTGCCGCACATACTGCCGCCTCCGCCGCGGAAATACCTGGCCTGCAGTAAGCTCGCTCATAGCGTACAAGAACTCCAAACTTTCCAAAAGGTTCGATAATGATTCGTAGCTCATTCTGCAACATAAAAGGTAATTAAAGGATGACTACGCTACACTACAAAGTTAGGAACGCGATGCATGCACATGTCACTGCAGTTCGCCCCCTCCCCCGACACCACGGTATTCTCCGAAATAAAGCTCAAATACACTGGGAGCAAATTATCTATCCAAATTTCGTAAAAGCTGAAAAGGAGTCTGCTAAAACCCTAGAAGAGATGGCGCAGACAGAAAGACGTAGGTTCTCTGATGAAAAAGATCCTAGGTTAGTCAAAGCTGCAATTGTATTCCTCCCATTTATGGCCGAAGAACTAACATTGTTGAAGCAAGGCGAGGTGTAATGTTAGCAAAAGCGAAAAAAATTGTTTACCCACATGACACACACAAAAAAGTAGCAAAATCTTTATTCAGAATTTCATCATCGCAAACTCTTTTGACTATTCTGAACAAAAGTGAATAATGCCGCTGTGGGAATATTTACATCATCACATTGTTATCTTTATTCAATCAGTCCAAAAATCACTGTTGAAGAAACGTTTGATTATCAAGCAAAAGGTCTACTGTGGCAAAGAACCACCACGAGTTACAGCGACTCCCCCTCGATATTTCGGGCAGTCAAATAGTTGACAGCAAAAATGTTCACTGCTAAAGGAACTCGCGTTGATAAATGATAAGATAGTAGACTGCAGTACAAACTTACATTCATAAGTAAGTAGAGAATCATTTTGGATGTGTCCTATGCTAAGATGCTTGCTATGCGACCACAGATTTCTCCGGCCTTAAGCATAAACCCACTCCGTCTTTCTAATACGAATACGTGAATACACGGCTTGCTTATGAGCACCAAAGAGGAAAAATATCCAAGAAACGTCACAATAATGGAAAAGCAAGTAACATACCAGCACACTACTCCTTGAAGTGATCCAGCCAGCTATATGTCTGAAGCATCATAACTTATAATAACGGGCTAAGGGTTGTTTACGTTTGTGTGTGTGTGTGTGTGTGTGTGTGTGTGTGTGTGTGTGTGTGTGTGTGTGTGTGTGTGTGTGTGTGTGTGTGTGTGTGTGTGTGTGTGTGTGTGTGTGTGTGTGTGTGTGTGTGTGTGTGTGTGTGTGTGTGTGTGTGTGTGTGTGTGTGTGTGTGTGTGTGTGTGTGTGTGTGTGTGTGTGTGTGTGTGTGTGTGTGTGTGTGTGTGTGTGTGTGTGTGTGTGTGTGTGTGTGTGTGTGTGTGTGTGTGTGTGTGTGTGTGTGTGTGTGTGTGTGTGTGTGTGTGTGTGTGTGTGTGTGTGTGTGTGTGTGTGTGTGTGTGTGTGAATTTCTGTCTGTCACGAAATTCGTAGTGCGAGTTCCAGCTAACCTCCTGGGCTCAAATTTTGCGTAGCGCATGCTACGCGCATGAAAGTTCAACATACAAAAGCACGAGCAGATTTGTTGAGTGGATCCCTCAGAAACTGCGCGCCAAACGGATCCACTTTGCGTTTGGGCCACAAATTTGGGTCCGTAATTGCACCTTTTACAGAGTCGCGGATGTTTGTGCCAAGTAAATGTGCAAGTCATGAACTTAGGCCCAAAAAACTCATCAAAAGTCCATTACTTTATAAAAACGGCGCCAAAAAGTATTGGTTGCGTAGATGGTCAATTTGCCAGGGTTCTACCAAAGCATTTGACGAGATTTTTGCACAAAGATATAGCTCAAGGTGGCTGCTGTTCTTATTGCAACTGTCAAGACCATGGGAAAATCAAAAACTTATAAAAATTTGAGTTTGCTCTCCTGCAAAAAGTCTCATCCACGCGAAATCACCGATTTCACATGAAAAAGCTTTCGGAATGAGTAGTTGTTTACATTTTGTTCGTGGTAGTCGGCATTGCTCGGTGAGTTCCAATGCCATCATTATGCGAGAATGAGTAGGGCCTAGACAGTAGAGCCAGTGCGAGCCTCTGCGAAGCAGAGGTGAAGCACTGGTGTGATAATAATGAGGCGATTCCCTAAAGATTACATCTTTCATTCTGAGTACTAGCCACACTACAGCAGGTGTAAGAACAGATATTGCACAACAATTCAGTCATCCTTAACTTGAAAATGAAGTGACCTATATTTCTAGTGTTCTCGGTGGATCTAGAAAATAGCATCGTTGGATCTCAGTAAGTCCGCCAAGCATGAGCAAATGAAAGTTTGGTGACGGGAGAAAGATATTTGCTTTGAACGTGATTTCAATCATATACTCTCAAAACACAAAGAACATGCGCAAAATATAAGACTAGCTTACCTGGGCATTGAGCAAGCATAGCTTCCAATTATGCTCTTCTGCGCACGGTTGTTCTTCGCTACTCGGCTGAAATAGAAGAGCTAACTGGGATACCAGCCCACCTCCATGTTTATACAGATGAAAAGTAGATAAAAGCATGAGAAGCGTTTTCTACACACGATGGCATATGAAAGGTAGCGGAATCGGGAAAGTTATGGAAAGAGTTTCGTCATAGCAACACAACGCTGCATCATTTCGCTATGAGAACAAGATGCATTCCCATAGAGTTGCTTGCGACGGAGAAAACAAAAAACACAGCCTTCACAAAACTTAGACAGCATACCTGGTGCGGAGCATTCAACAACATTCATTGCATACACGCTGGCGACATAGGTTGTGAATGTAGTGAAAGCAACACTTGCTTTCGGTGAAACGCAAGATCTGAGACAGGTGTATCGTTCGTTAGCACCTCTATAACATCTTCATATTGATAACGAGGTGTGAATATGCCTACAATTAGAAAAAAGGACGTTCACAGCAAAATACTGAATCATTCGTTTTGTCTTACGCGGCACTAAATGACAAACGCAGAACGCGCTCGTTTGAGCGGCGCCCAAATTGTGCGGGAATCATGGAACTGTGCGGGAACCACAGGAATCGCAGGAATCTTCTGAAATAGTATGGCCGGTCCCTAATAATAGTTATGATACGATTGCTCCGATTTTCTGCAAGCAGATTTTTGCGACCAAACATGGGGAATATAAAAATGGAGCAATTGTCTTCACCGACTTCGATCTCTGGAGCTATCAAAAAGTGCCCCAGGTACCACTAAAAAGAGCATGTCTTCTTTCAAAATAAACATGTGCAGATTGGATGTGAAGGAAGTAAGCTTCGAATTTTTGAAAAGGATGGGGACGAGCTTTTGGTTCATTACTATTATTTTCTAAGTAATAATTTATGAAACTTCAACAGTAATTTATAGTAACTTTCACTTACACATACCTGCTTTAGAGTCTGACACATACCTGTTTTGTGTGGAAAATGCTGGAATATTAGAGTGAACAAAAGTCATATTGCTCCAAATTTGAAAATTCCAAAAAAATTCAAGTCAAAGTAAAGCCTTGATTTTTGCAGAAAACTCTTGCAATTTTCAAATCTGTCTCAGAGCTTTTCTTGTTGAGATTTCGAAATAGTTCTAAATAAATTGTCCAAATCTGCTTCGTATGTCTTGGCGAAGAAGTTGCAAAATGGAACACTTGCGGCAAGGCACGATTCACATCAACAAATTTCAATTAATTCTCATTACAGAAAGGAAGGGAGGCCGAAGCCGGCTTCAGACCGCGCGGACAAGGTCAAAATGACGCCCGATAAGTGGAGACGGTTTATTTCTCCACAGGACCATCTTCCCTTTGAAGCGCATATTATCCTTTGTGAATGAGATTGTTATTCTTGTTTTTCTTATTCTTCCACCAGTGCTTCATCTCTGCTTCGCAGAGGTTCGCACTGGCCATCATGAACCGTGGTAAACTCACTTTCTGAGAGCTTGCCTCTCAAATCATTGTTCGGTTGACTGCAACGTGAGAGCCATAGTTAAAAATGAACCATACTCGCTATGTGAACCTCACATGGTGTTTAGTACCGTAAATCATTCCTCACTATAATTTCGTAACAGACAGACTTACAGACCTACAAATAAGCGGCTTATTGTAAGTCATGATTATTCTTTACTCTTCCATCAGTACAGCATTGCTTTTTGACTCCTAATATTTGCCAATTTTTCCAACCTTATTCACTTGTGCATATATACTCAAATGCTTTTGCGATTTCATGTATACTTATTTATGAACACTTCACTGATATGTTAATTTGCAATTATCAACTTCGGCCTATTGTAATTCTATATGGTACCTGCATAAAACAATACACTGTGCTATTTGCTTTCTCATTAAAATTATCTAGCTGTCTACGTCTTTTAGCATCTAGAAAGTCTTTAGAGGAACTTCCACATCAAAGGAATAATGCTTAGTAAAAAGCGACGACCTACTATTGGAAAGAAAAACCTAGTATCAAAAAGGAAGCTTGATATGGAAGAAACGGATCGCGAATCAAAAGCGAAAACCGCAAAGTGCTGCGGAACTCCAAACAAAGTACTGCGGAAACCCTGCACCCTGAAATTGCAGGGTTTCGCAGCGCTTTAGCAGGATTTCCGCCGGGTCACCTAGTATTGGAAAGTGAAAGCGCTGCGGAAGTTCCGGTAGGTTGTCTGAGCAGATGAAATTACGATTTTCGAAAGCTTCTTCGACCAGGTAAGACAGACATGATGGTCACAATTCGTTCAGTAGGATAAACATAAACTTGGCATAGCTCAATTAAATCAGCGTCCGGGCAGATTTGGATATCTTTAGACTATTATAACCGAGTATCACGGCCTCGATCTAGAACTATCGCGCAAATCCGACTTTCAAATCCTCCCCTCTTCTGCAAAAGGAGAAAATCGGAGCGGAAATGGTTGGGCCTCGAAGCTCCCTCGCACCGCCTGCCCCTTTAAGCAAACTCCCGCCAGCCCTTGACGTTTTTCACGTGGCAAACACAATCAAACAAAAAGTGTCTATCTATTAGCTTGTTTTCGACAAAGATGGCATTAGGAGCACTCGTCCATGGTTCTTACAAAATTGTCTCAAAAATGGTTTTTTAAAGGAAATGCATTCTGACTGGTAAATTTGGCAGCGCCTCTGGAATGGTCTAAAGGCAAAAAATAGAAGGTCGAGATTCTGCGTGGACGCTGCTTTTAATGTAGAGAAGATTTTTAATAACATCATTTCCTAAATACAGCTATCAGCTATTATTAACTTTGCTATATATGTCAGTAGTTTTGAGCTTCATGAAAATTCTCTGGTACCTGTGCAGTTTGTTGCCCAGATATCAGAGAGCGGAAAGTACTACCAGCTTTACTTTCAAGAACGAAAAGAGATGCTAGTCCAAAGGATGTTTGAACTCTGTTAACATCGTGATTCCCAAAATCAGCAAATATTAGGTCGTTCCGAAAGTAATGTCGCTTTTTTCATACGTACGCCACATTTCGTGGAACAAAGATGTTTAAGAGATTCTGGTAGCATTCGATGCAGCATTTCATTCTCTTTCTAAGAAGAAAGAGAATGAAATGCTCTTCTTTCTTCTTCTTATAAAACCACTCCACAAAATTTGATAACCTCTGAAAAAATTATCAGAATCTGCGACCCATTCTTTTTGAAAAGGTCAAGTTTCACAATTTTTCTAAATTTTTATAACAGCCCTCGGATGGAGTCCAAGTTATGTGTGGATAGAGCAAACCCTACGGGAAACAGCACAACTTTTTTCTACTTTTCAGAGCTCGTCATAATTTCTGTATAGATTTTTTGATGGAACCACCGCATTTCAGCAGACTCGTCTGAGACACAAATGCATCAAACACCAATAAATCTTCGGATTTTGAAACTTACAAAAGTGGATTATGGTTTTACACTAATTTTACAAAGCAAATGAGCGTTTACCGCTTCCGATTAGCAACTTTCGAAAATTCCGGGTACACCCGGAGGCGCCCTGCAAAACCTGAATTATGATGATTTTATTTCGGAAAACTTGATGAATCGGAAACCAAAAACAACTGGTAAAAAGAGGAGAAAAAGCTGCGTCGATTGACACCCGAGTCGCTTGCCGGTTGTTGTTCTGTGGCCAAATATGGAATTTGATGGCATTTTAAAACTGATTCCAGAAACTCTAGGAAGCAAGTTAAGGAAAAGAAAAAAATTACTCTGTTTCCTATAGGGTTTGCTCTATCTACCTGCCATTTGTACTTCTTCGGAGAATAGGTACTAAAATTTTAAAAAATTGCCGAACTTGACCATGGCAAAAAGCATGAGTTGCAGATTTTGCTAATTTTTTGAAAGCCCAATAAAAATTATGCAATGTAATTACAACCTTTAGAAAGAGGATGAAATGCTGCATCGAATGCTCCTAAGACCTCTTGAAAACCTTGATTCCATGAAATGTGGCGTTCATTCGAAAAAAGCGACATTACTTTCGGAACGACCTAATAGTTTCAGATCATACCATGCTGGCTTTTGATTTGTAAATTCCATTCAGTTGCGTTGCTCACTACTTACAGCCAGCTTACAAATCGTTCAAAAGATTTGATTCTAAGACCTTTATCAACTCTTCTAACTAATGTTTCCTAGACTGCAGTGATCGTCCACCACATTCTGCAAAAAGCCAAGTGACTTCTGATAATGCAATCCGATAGAAGCATTGGAAAGAAAAAATTTCCACCGAGAAAAGAACATAGACCAAAATTCTACACCACAGAGCTGCATGATGTACACGAAATCACTTTGAGAGGATGTGCAGAAATATATTATTTTATTCATGTGGAATTCGAAACAGAAAAAGCATAAAACATCAGGAATACCATCAAAGTATCATTAATGTCTCACAGCAATAAAAAACAAGCCCTGGCACTTCTTTAACAATATTGTCCTATGAAGATGGGTTCATCATTACAGTAGATCCCATAAATGAATGGACGATCTGCACGGAAGATGGTGGCATAAGGATTGATCACACAGCTCATTAATTCCACCGTCGCTGCAGTTACTGCTGCTGCTTCTGTACCTTCCTCATTTACCTAAAAATCTTCCAGACTATTTTTACGAGATTTTTACAAGGGTGTCCCAAAAGTGTATGCACTTTTTGATATCAGTACCTCTCTTGCTTCGTTGCCTTTCGCCAAGATTTGAGTGTTGTTCTTTCAAGCTGGCTCCACCTCAGATCTAAGATTTAGAAATCATAGATACCCTCCAATTACTTTAGGATTGCCGTGGGAACTTCCAGCATACAGTGTCAACGTCAATCGGCTTTTTCAACAAACAGAAAAAACATCTCAAAAAATCACAAGCTGCCAACTACTAACAGGCCTTTCATGCGGACGATTCTATTCATACCCTCGATACATAGAACCACGTACTCTGGTAACCTTCACTTTGAGGGCTATGAGGGGACACAACCTGCACCTGGAAAAAAACAGCCATCCGGGGCTTCGCCCTGGATGTTATTATCCTGACCTTGTCGGAACGTATGTTAATGAAGCAAATATAGGGAATAATATCTTTATCAGCAAAACCGAGAATTTGCCTTTTCATAGCCTTTTTTACGTTAAAAAAGGTTTCTGTGGAATTTTGCCTGAATTCAGGATAGAATTTCCTAGTTAACCTCTCATTTGACCAAAATAGAGTTTCAGAAGTTGAGGAAAGCTATTGGAGTTGAATAAAAACGAGAAACTGCGCTCAATTCTCGCGCAGAGAATCGCGCACGAAAACCCTGGTCTATCTCGTTAATGAGTGATTCTTGAAGCTTGGGACGTTATAAGTTACTAGCTGGCTTACCCGGCTCCGCCGTATCCGGACCAAACTTGGCACACATACACTTCGGGCCCCGGCGGGTGTCACAGTCCACTTTTCGTTATCGATCGATTTCGATTTTACCGATTTTTATCGATTTTTTTTGCAGAGTTCACCTACAGGGCTAGGAGTTGGCACAGAGGGGGGAATTGAGCATGGGGATTCCGAATACAATATTAGTTTTCAGAATTATCGATTACTTTTATTGATTTTATCGATTTTTTGTAAATTTTGACATGCGAGGCTGGGATTTTGCACAGGGAGGTAATCGAGCATGCTGATTACGAACACAATATTAGTTTTCAGGATCGTCCATTACTTTTATCGATTCTATCGATTTTTTGTGAAGTTTGACCTGCGGGGCTGGGAGTTTGCACAGGGGGTAATCGAGCATGCAGATTACGAATACAATATTAGTTTTCAAGATCGTCCATTACTTTTATCGATTTTCTCGATTTTTTGAAAATTTGAGCTAGGGGGCTGGAATTTGGCACAGGGGTGTAGTCGAGCATGCTGATCACCCCCCTTGGGGATGATCAGCATGCTCGATTACCCCCCTGTGCCAACTCCCAGCCCCCTAGCTCAAACTTTGCAAAAAATCGATAAAATCGATAAAAGTAATCGATAATCCCGAAAACCAATATTGTATTCGGAATCCCCATGCTCGATTACCCCCCTGTGCGAACTCCCAGCCCCGTAACTCAAACTTTGCAAAAAAATCGATAAAATCGATAAAAGTAATCGATAATCCCGAAAACCAATATTGTATTCGGAATCCCCATGCTCGATTACCCCCCTGTGCGAACTCCCAGCCCCGTAGCTCAAACTTTGCAAAAAAATCGATAAAATCGATAAAAGTAATCGATAATCCTGAAAACCAATATTGTATTCGGAATCCCCATGCTCGATTACCCCCCTGTGCCAACTCCCAGCCCCGTAGGTGAACTCAGCAAAAAAATCGATAAAAATCGATAAAATCGATATCGATCGATGACGAAAAGTAGCCTATGACACCCGCCGGGGCCCGTAGTGTATGTGTGCCAAGTTTGGTTCGGATCGGTTCAGAAATGGAATTTTCTATTCGGAACATACGTACAGACATACAGACAGACAGACATACAGACAGACAGACAGACAGACAAACAGACATTCAGCTTTATATATAAGATGTGTCAAGTGTAAGTGTCATGACGATCAGAATGATATATAATGTTGCAGGGTTTCGTTGAGACCCCGCGGAGATCTACGACCAGAGCCAAATGCCCCGTCGGCTCTGGTCTGTCTTCGCTGCTCGTCTGCGTCTCCGCGCGCTGCGCGCTACCTCGCTACCCCAAACGCGGGGCGCGGGGCATTTGGCTCTGCTATCTTTTTCTTCGCTGTTTCGAACCCAAATTTAGCAAGCTATATATCATTTTGAAGTTCTTGATCTCTATTTTCACGCTGACAACGTCCCAAAACCACATTTTTTGATTTGATCAAGAAATCCGGCAAAAACCTTGTTTTTGAAAATCTCTTGTTTTTCTCCTAGTTTAACTCTTTTCACGCGGTTTTTTCGTGCATTCTATAGATTTTGCTTCTGTTCATAATGCAGACAACCACCCAGCCCTTACTTCTTCGAAAATGGTGGAATTTTTTGCAAAAATCCTAAAAAGTGCGTTTTTCTTTACATTGTTCTGTTTCAGTGCTTTCGCATCGATTTTTTCCCGCTTGGGCGATTGTTGCTCAGAACAATAAGCGCAACAATCTAGACAACGTCCCAGGAAACAGGAACGTCAATGCGGGGGTAAAAATTTAAAGGACGCGTCAAAATCAAAACCCCGTGTTGCGAATTGCTGGTCCTAGAGCGAAAATTTGCACTCTAAAAAGCCGCGAAATGAAAAATTTCAAACCTTATTGCAGCGATTTATGCGGTTTTCAGCAGTTTATTTTGCTTTTTATATCTGTTTTATGTCATATTCTCTTCTCTGATCTTCTTTAAACAACCTTCACTATTTCTTACGTCAGATATTCAAACAACCTTCACTTTTGGTGCCCTGTCTCTAGACTATCGAAGGTATGATTCTATTGCTTTACCTTTGCCGAAATTGTAAGCTTTCTATGCGATGTAATGAAATTTTAAGAAACATTGAGGAGACGGTCGCCACGGAACCTAGCATACCCTATACACCAAGAATCATGGTAGGATGCACATCTCATGGTTGATATCAACGACTGTTTACTGTAAAAAAATTTGAAGTCGTGGTTTTTTTCTTCAAACAAAGTATGGCCCTCAAAGGCTCAAAACCTTCTTCAAGGCTTTTACATTAATCCTACAGCAAAAGCATTGGTGATCTGTTCCATATTGTTAAGTTGAAACCAATTCTACAGAACGATGTCTAAAGAAAGCAAAAGACATTGAAGAAACAGGATATCAACGATTGAACAGTGCATTATTACTTTTGAGACACCCTTCATACTCAAGAAAGATTTTTGTATTGAGTGACTCAAAAATTCGACACTACAACTTATTTCACAGGAAAAAGGCAAACAAACAAGAAATCAGATTGTGCCCGTTGTATGCAATCAAAGCGCCGTCTGCTTCCAGTAACTGCGAGATAGATAGAAGTTGAATGGAAGTAACCTTTGATTCAACTGGCTTGGCGGCTGGAAGGCGGGCTTTATGACCTAATTAAGGCCGCTCGCGCCCGCGACCGGTCTGCGTCCTCCCTTGCGCGTGCTCTTTGATCATTACCTGGTCTCAATTAGGTCACGAAGCCCCGCCTTCCAGCTGCCAAGCCAGTCGAATAAAGGGTACATGGTGCAATATCACAGCGAAGTTGGCGAGCAAAACATAAAAGTGTAGACGGAAATTCTGCTGCAAAATGGTAAATTTCCCGCATTTCTTACGCTGCTGCAACACTGTTCAATTATCACTTGGAAAAAACCACAAGATTTTTTTTGTAGCAAAACTCTTATTTTCATCTATAAAAAAGTTAGTTCGGGCTGAGCACAGTAATTTCCAAACAAACCTCAACAACAGCTTTATGAATGACGTCGTCAATATAGAGCGATTCCTCGTTCGATACTCCCTTCAGGTCACAATTCTCGCTAAAGAGTTGTCTAATTCCAAGCTGCTGCAACATTTCCTTCATGGGTGGCTCAGATGAAAGCTTGATCTTTGGAATGGTCACCTGAATATTATAAACCCCTAGACTAGAATCATTATAAGACAGAAAAGAATTCACATCGACGATGCACCCTTTGGCATTCTGATGCAGTTGTCTCAGCACTTTACTGTCCAAATTACTACGGAATTCCTCGAATCTGTTTTGTGCGGGAAGAAAGATGACAAATCTGTATTTTCCATTCTGAACAGCGAACAAAGTTAGATCTTTTGCGAGGAATTTGCTTCACAGTACCTTGTATGGTATCGTCAAAGTTTCCGTACCTTCTTCATTGTTGTAGCCACAGAACTCCAAAGCTTGATACCTCATGAATAATTCCTGGCGTATTGTAAAACTGCTCTTTATGAGTACAAACTTTGCAAGAAAGACTTCAATAAAGCACTGTAATCTTATGTAAATGCGGAGTCACCAAGTAGATCTGAAGCAATTCGCAAAAGTTCAACACTTATTTAGGAAATGTAAATGAAAATTAAGCCGACCCTTCGGGTGATTCTAATCTACATAACATCTCGTTAGCTCGGTTAGACTGACAAGGGAAGGATACCAGCATAATCTGGCAAATCAAGAAGAGATGTATTAGGTCGTCCCAAAAATATTTCCGTTTTTTTTTGAATAAGCGCCACAGTCCGCAGAACAAAGATTTACAGGAGCTCTTGGTAGCATTCGATGTAGTTTTTCAAGCTCTTTCGAATGTTCTTTTTATTTAGCAGTGGAAACAATGAGCTATCAGGAAATTGCGATAAACTGCGACCCACGCTTTATACCAAGGGTCAAGTTCCAATATCTTTTAAAATCTTTATACTAACCCCCGAGGAAGTCCAAGTAACCTGCGGATAGAGCAAAGAAATTAGGATACAAAACAGTTTTGAGCTCCTTCCCAAGGCTCTCCATAAATTTTTAACAGAATTTTGAACAACACCATCGAATTTTAAGAGTTCCATACGAGGCAGAATCGTCAAACTCCACTAAATTCTCAATTTTTGATACTTTCAAAGTGGATTAGGATTCAGCACTTATTTTACGAAACAAGTGAACGCTCCGGGGTTCGAAATATCTAATTTTTAATTTGACGCGTACAGCCTGGGGGACCTTGAAAAACATGAATTTTGCCGATTTTATCCTCCAAGAGTTCTCGAATCAAGAACAAAAAGCATGTCTCTGAAAGAGGAGAAAGTGCTGCGCCGAATAACACCTAGTTGCTCGCCGGCTGTTGTTCTATGAGGTTTAGGTTGACTAAATAGGGAATTATACAGCATCGAAAAAATAATTTTGAAAAATTTTCAAGTAAGCTATGGAAGGGGCAAAAATTGTTTTGCATCCTATTTTCTTTGCTTTATCCGCAGGTTACTTGGACTTCCTCGGGGTCAGTAAAAGAATTTAGAAAATAGTGGAACTTGACCTTGGCAAAAGGCATGGGTTGCAGTTTATCGCAATTTTCTGTTAGATCATTGTTACTGCTAAATAAAGATGAGCATTCGAAAGAGGATGAAAAACTGCATCGAATTGTACCAAGAGCTTCTGTAAATCTTTGTTCTGCAAACTGTGACGTTTGTTCAAAGAAAGCGAAAATACTTTTGGGATACCTAATATATAAAGAAACGCGGTTGTAAACGCTGATTCCAAATCTTCTCTCCGCTTCTGCGGAACAGCTCTCCGAAAGTAGTCATGAGTGTTTAGAAGTCCAAATTTGTCCCGCCTCAAGTGATGTAAAATTAGAGAATAGCTGACAAAAACACGTATGCGTTTTTCCACTAGCTGTAGTCCTTCTTAATCAACATACTCGATACAGGGCTTTCCCACTTGCAAGTATTTTTGCACAGCTTTTTTCCAATTTTATGCCACTTAAGACTTGACAATGTCGGCCATTCAAAAGCTCATAACTTCTTATGTAAAGTTGCTCCGCAGAAATGAAAGCAGATTTGGAATCAGTGTTTGACGATGCGTCTACTGATAAATATCCCTTTTTGGTTTGCCACATCATGTTGGTATCCTTACCCTATGGGATGACACCTATGTGCAATGCACAACTCAAATTATGACCCCCACCCTTGATTCAAGAGGCAATAGTCGGAAAACGGCCACTCAAAGTTAGTGAATCTTCTGATCTCTAGCTTGCTACTCATAAATTCCTACCTCGCGATCGCCTTTGATGCCATGAAATGTGTCCTTTCGGGTCGACTGGGCTGAGAATGGCGCAGCCCACAATCCTTTGAAATGTACTGCATTTATCAGCAATGCGCGCATTTCTGGGTGATAGTAATCGTCATTCAGAAGCTTTGGAATCATTTTGCGAGTTGCGGCCGCCACGAAATTGTTCACCGTCTAAAGAAAAAAATCAGTGCTCAGGCAAACCGAACGTCCAAATAACCTCAATGGCTAGAATTTTGTCTTTAAAGTCAAGATGTTCAGCGACAACTTTGTAGTCATTTTGGATGTAATCGTTGTAGTCTTGACGTATTTCCACATCTGAACAAAACCTTATGCTATGGTCCAACTTTGACAGCTTAGAAAACGTTACCCAGAGCTAAGAAGAGTTTCGTTGCCAATGCCGTTGCGACTCCATCTGCTTGATCGAGCGTTTTGAGAAGTTCAGCGATGCCGTTTTTTGAATCTTAATGGGTAAAGGAACGAAGTCCGCCAGCTTGAACCGCCTTTCGCGGCCAACTGATCCTTTAGCAATGGGCCCCATCTAAATCTACTTAACCGGCTGCGCGGGCGGTCCCTTCAGTGCGTGCCGGGACCTAGGGCACTGACTTAGGCCACGCTTGCTCACTCAAACTTTAAAAATCACGGTTGCGCATGTTATGCACCCTTCTTGCTGTCAACATCGATGTTGGAAGGGACATATGAATGGTCTTTTAATGTTTATTGAATGACTTTCAGCTCAGCGCGATGGTCAGAGCTCAGAAACTTTACTTGTATTGAGAAGAGAAGCTTTTTTAGTTCAAGTGGGTAGGAAGTCTGCATAAGACAGCTTCCTTCTTCCAAGAAAGGTTATGTTGCAGTAATTGGCATTAACACTTTCATATTGTTTTCGTCGTGCTGTTTCACGACAAATGGCCGTCATTTCATGATTGAAGATGTTTCTTGACTATTCTGATCTGTATGGTACTGATCTGTATACGCTACCATGGACTCACCGTGCCCAGAATCTTTTCACATGCAGCATTTATCATCTATCGCTAAATTTTGTCAAGATAAGGCTTTTTTAACGATCGAAGCTTTTAGAGAAGGGAATTTTAAGCGGCTTGACATCTCTCCTCATACTTCTTATGTTCTTGACTTGGGTCTACATAGGGCCTACAATTGAGCCTCCGCTAACATATCAGTTATTTATTGTGAACTAGAAGAATTGAGAGAGCTTTGCACACGTACAAGTTGATACTGTGAACTCATTGTGCATAATCCACCAATTAGCTTTAACTTTGACAACGTTCGGCGTTCTCGATCCTTTGATCACAATTTGTTTTGACTTCCCGGTGCGATTTTGGGGTGCGTAGCAAGTGTTACCCAGGCAGCCGCCTGGTGCCGCAGCCAGCCGCCAGAGCTGGCACCAACGCCGCGGCTGAGCTACCGTAGACGCGCTCTCGTCGTCCTCAACCTCTTGCAGAGAGATTTTCGCAGCAGCCTCGCACCTCACCATGCTGAGGTTCGAGAATGCCCTCAGAGGTTGCGCTACTGCCACATATCATACATCGATCAAGACAGCAAAAAATTTGTAGTTTATTAGTAAGATACAATACAAAAAATATACAAAAACAAAAAAGTTGAAATTCAAGCAATAAAAAATATCCAGAAAATCTCATCACCTTCTCATAATCTAGAATTATTTTAAAATTTCCATTTCTTGATTTCTCTTTCAGGCAGTCAAAAATAATCCTGTAAGTTGAGTGATTTTTCTTTTGTGTGATGGCGAATAAAACTGGGAGTAATTTTTTTTCAATTTTCCTTTAAATCTTTTTTCAATTCAAATTTTTCACGAATCAAAACCTCCGCCACATATTGCGTGGACGGTGTATAATTGTCCTTTTGCTATCCCTGCTCAAATCTTTATAGGATTTAAGTTGTGGACGACGTCCCCGATCAGCGCTTTTGTCCGATTTCAATGATTGTCTTAATTTTTCAAAAAATTCAGATTGCAAAAATAATTTTGTGGGCATTTACCGCAATAATTACGTCGGAGTAGTAGATATGAATATTTGGCAATGATTTGCAAAAATCCTTCCCATCTGTAAAATTCTTAACTCTTCAGGAATACTGTTCATTTCTACCTTTGTGATTTACGAGCATGCAACTCTAAAAATCGAGAGTTCATTAATTTTGAGATCAAAAAATAAACGAGGAATTACTTAGTAAATGAACAAAATTCATTCCATAATATTATGCCTTAAATTTAATTTTATAATTATTCCATCAATTTATTTTTTTTAAACTTTTTTGTTTTTGTATATTTTTTGTATCGTATCTTACTAATAAACTACAAATTTTCTGTTGTCTTGATCGATATCCAATGTGGCAGTAGCGCAATCTCTGAGGGAATTCTCGCACCTCAGCGCGATGAGGTGCGAGATTGCTGCGAAAATCTCTCTGCAAGAGGTTGAGGACGACGAGAGCGCGTCTACGGTAGCTCAGCCGCTGCGTAGGTGCCAGCTTTGGCGGCTGGCTGCGGCGCCAGGTTAAGTAGATTTAGATGGCGCCTTCGCAATGTTGATGGATGTCGTCTCAGGACCAGTAGTCCGCGGAGGCGGCCCTAGTTCCCACCCATTCTTAATCACTATTCGATAGTCTCACCAATAAAGCAAAGAAAAACTCCTAACTGGATATGTTGCTCAAGAGTAAAAGAAATACCTTTTTAGCCTAGTAAGTACCATCAAAAGTTATCTCCAAGAATCATTTCTGAAGTGTCGTGCTGTACACGTTAAGAAACTCGTTATCTTTTTAACTACCGGATTGCTACCTTATTGTAGGAAACTTGACTCCATGAACGCAGTTATTGTTTGTCCTATTCTTATCTCTTGTTTCTTGATACATATAAGCAAAGCTACCTCTTTTCAAGGCTTCATTGATTTCCCTCTTCGTGATGCCATCAGCTCCACGTTCAAGCACATCCAAAGCTACGATCAAAGACAGTGGAGACATGACCATGCTCTCGTCCACTGGTATAAGTTTCAGCAAATCAACTGCGAAATCAGCCATAGCTCTGAAATCTGATCAGATATCGGTTTTATATAGGTTGGATCATAATTAATGCACGTTTTCGAAGTAGAACCATTTCTTGGAAATTTTATAGTGTATGAAAGCCCGCTTCTCCTATTTTCTTATACACGTTTTCGTCTTCGCGAGTCCGCGTTGAAACCGGAGTCTCATGCCTTCAAAAACAAAAGGACTAAAACTTCAAATTCTTTCCTTTCATTGTGATTGCTCTAAATCTACGGAAAATGCCCAACTGTTCTTTCAGAATTCTTATCGTAAACGCGAAATTTTGTGCTACAAGCTGCTCACCGAGGCCAAATTTTTGAGAAACCTTGAACCGAGAAGCTTTGGCTTACTTGGCTGTTTGCTGGAGCCAGTCTAAACTGTATAAAAACCAGGCAGGAAGTGCGGGACTTTTCCCCTGCATAGGCAGAGTAAACCTAGTGCAAGTAATGTTAAAAACGGCAAAATTTTCTCTTTCTTAAAAAAGAAAAATTAGAGAAATGTAAGAAACACAGTACCCTGCCTTTCAAAATGCAGAAAAAAGTGGGTACTTTTGATTCTTTGGCAACCTTTTTTCGCATAAAATTCCTTCAAAAGCCAAGTTTTACTCTACGTCAACCACCATCTGCTATACAATGAGCAGAGTTTGCGCAATCATAGCACATTTGAATAAGTTATGCATTCTGATGCGGCAGTTTTCGGGGAAAAAAATCTTTTCCATAGTGACCATAGGTATGCTAGAGTATGCATTGTAACTAAAGGCTGAGCCAGACTTCGCTGGGAAAGCTGCATGAAAAAATTTTTTTATGATTTCACGCGGCGTAGGCAGCGTACGCCTGGTATGTTTCATCATAGCGTATACGCGTCGTACGCTGTGTACGCCGCTTTTCCAGCGCAGTCTAGCCCAACCCTAAAGGTTTTCTGTTTGCGCTAGCATTTGTCACACTCAGAAAGCTGGTATCGGAAAAATACTATTTTTATTCAAATTCAAATAGGAATCGTGTAAAACCTAATATAACGGGAAAGATGCAGGCGAAGAATACGCAGGTGTCTAAGTAAGAGGAAATGGTGACAATAACAAATTATACAATAACCAGTGCGTCACCTCCGCTTCGCGAAGGTTCGCACTGGCTCTCCTATCCGCATGCTTTTCTCATGTTCGCATGAGAATAACTTTGAAACTCACCAAGCGATGCTAACATAACAAGTTAATTGTAAACAGTGGTTCATTCTTGAAGCATCTCCACGTAAGATCGGTAATTTTGAGAAGAAAAACTTTTTCGTAAACGAACACCTGCGAATTTGAATGGGTTCCTGAATTTATTTTGGCTTGGTAGTCGTTGCCTAGCAGCACCACCCTTTTCAAAACGAATTAGTTGGCCTGACTTACAGCCCGAGCGCAATTGATCTCCATTTTCTGATGAATCACCGTTAACTTCAGAAGGTGATGCATGGCTTCTGCGGTCGCTACAGCACTGTACATGGAATCAGCACATTGTGCCTATTGTCGAAAAGTTCTTCCTGTGCATTCTTCTTATGCATTTGTTGAGAAGATGAACTTCTGTTTATGGTAAGCATGAGCTGTATCACTGGTCTTTATATGGCACAAGAGTTCCGTCTGGCATGCTCCGCTTAGAATGGAAATGTGAAGCAATTAAGGAAGGGTATCTTCCATGCGGAAAATAAATAATATGCATCCTATAAAAGTCAAAATAGATGATGGAATAGAAAAGCATTCAAATTGAAAGAAATGCAATTTTAATGACAGACAGTTGTAGTAATTGCCACCAGCTACACAGTGGACGTTGATTTGCATGAAATTCTGCGAAATCATGAAAAGCTGCTTCCAACTACCAAGAGAACTCATCATTTCAGGTCGAGCTTCTTAAGGGTCTCTTCATATCGGGCAGGCAGCCGCCGCTAGCAGCCCGCAGCAGTCGCCAGCAGCCCGTAGCAGCCCATAGCAGCAGCTAGCAGCCCATAGCAGCAACTAGCAGACCGCTGACCGTTTTCATCATAGAAGCGCAAAATCATCAAATTTCTGCTACTACTTTAAGTGCGTCCGCCCACGCTTTCCATCTTCCACGCTTCTTTCTTCCAACTGCGACTAATGTGCAGTTCCATTCTCACACATTACAGAGTTATTCAGGATAAGCACCGGCCAAGGATATGATTGAAGCAGAACCGTACTAAAAGAGTAAACAAATGGTGCACACCTGCAGAAGGTGAACGCATCCAAAGTCAGAAAAAACCACACTGCGAAGAAAGGTTGGCGAAATATGGTTCAACTGCGAGAGGGAAACTAAGCACCAATAGGATAACTAATCTATGACAGCAAGATAATAACAACAATGGACACAAGTATGATAGACGAGATCTAATTTATTTTATTTTAATTTACACTCTAGGTGCACCAAAAAATAAACTCAACCAAGCAATTCCAACAAAAAAAAAACAACACCGAGTCGGAACACAACTAAATATGACAGAAGCCCTGCCACCTCTAAAACTATAATAACTCCCGATTTAGAGTGTCAGCGAGCTCGGGTGTATGTCAAGAGGCGCGATTTTTATTGCCAGGTGGACACCAAATAGCGCTTAATAAGTGTTTTATAACATTCTAGAAGTACTTAAACTTCAGAAGGAGATATATCAGGTAGTTGCATGAATTGCTCAATCTTGCTAACTTGGAATCAATTGAAAACAGCAATTTTGAAGGTCAAAAACCCATGAAAATGCAGTTTAGAACAAATTCGTAAATATTATATTTCGGTCTTTTCAGCAAAAGTCATCAAACTCAGCAGCTGGTAACCAAAGACAGGTAGTAAGCTAATGCATTTTATCTGGTACTTTTTAAGACTCGCACAGCACCAAACTGGAGTTCTGAGTTGGTGACAGCCAGAAAAACCGCGCCTCTTGACCGTCTCCCAGCGAGCCCCCGCTGCTAGGCTAGCTGACGTAAACCACAATAAAGATGATTCTGTTTTAGAGGTGAGCAAGATTTATAGGAATGCAAGGAATATCTGTGGAACATACAAGGGAGGATACAACTAAGATTCGCCTTTTGAGATGTGAAACATACATAGAATCAGCATTGAACGCTAATTCCAATGTGTCATTCCTAAGCGAATTATGGGCTTGCATTTGTGACTAACCAACAAACTTCTGAACGTCGTAAGACGGCACGTAGATAAGAATCTGCTCGGAAAAAATAGGATGTTGAACTAGCATCAGATAAATTCTTCCGATCTTGAGAGGGAGCATTATACAATTGCAAAACCACCTAGACGTCAACACCGTGGCATCAGCAGGTCGAGAAGCACGCAAACTTTGCATAGAAAAGAGACCATAACTCGCTTCAGAATGATGCTAAGCAGCTAGGAATAGCATATTTGGGATCAGCGTTCCAAACTGATTCCAGGTATTTGTGTCAGATCTCAAGTCGAACCTAACTTAGTATCCTTTCCTTGTTAGGTACAAAAAACCTATACAGTGCTGGCCGTGATTATAAAGACACTCTAGAAACTGTCGAATTTGCGTTCTTATTGACGAATCTGTCTGAAACTTTGCAATTTAGTGCGCATGTCAGCCTACCATAATCCCTCAAAACGACTTCCGATTTCGTTGAGTTTGAATGGAGAAACTTTAAAAAATTCGTAAAAAACCCTACCGAAAGCTTGAAAAAATTATAAAGACACCTGGGTTTTTTAAACACTATCGCATCCCCTGACTTCAAGAATTTTTTGTACAGTTACTACTAAAATATGAAACATTTGCAACATATGCGACCTGTCATCCTTTACATATAAAGAAAAATGTTCACTTCATCTTTTGCTTTCAAAGGCACCAAAAGTCAATCTGCTTCTACAAACAGCTGGTTTAAAGAGTTTTCAAGCTCTTGTTTATCTCAGATAATAGTTGTAGAATCCACTGAGCCATTTCGATAAATGAGTCGAAAAGCGCTTTCGTAAACTCTGCGTGATCGTTGATATTGACGAACAGACTCCAACCTCAGCATAGGTTTGTCACGCTTCTAAACCACAAAACTCAATTTTCAAGCAGCAGAAAGTACTGTAATGTAGCATTACTTCGATTGTACAACAGTAGACTTGTGTGCATGGTTATGAAAAGATTTCGAAGTTGGCATAATGGTTCAGCCGCAGTTGTCATTCACTGAATGTTGAGTGTAGCACCCTGCATAACCATAGCTAACTCAGATCACGAGATAGAACAGAAGACCGCTCAGAACTTCAAAATCTTAGCTAATCTCATTCTTTGGGTAGAATCCGACATGAAACAGAGAGGGAAATTGTGAGATTTATAATTATCTTGAGTGGAAAGTACTTCAAGTCTAAATGTTACCGCATCATTAGGCAAAACCTGAAAGTTGTTGCGAAAGCTGCATCACTATGTAGGCAATGTAATAAATCAAATTCAGCACTTTATGGGTATTGCAAACCGAGTTTTGTGGTTTGAAAGCGTGACAAACCTATGCTAAGGTTGGAGTCTGTCCGCCAATATCAGCGATCACGCAGAGTTTACGAAAGCGCTCTTCAACTCATTTATCGAAAAGGCTCAGTGGATTCAGTAACTATTATCTGAGATGAACCAGAGCTTGAAAACTCTTCGAACCAGCTGTTTGTGGAAGCAGATTGACTTTTGGTGCTTTTGAAAACAAAAGATGCAGTGAACATTTTTCGCAAATATTTTATATTTTAGTAGGTAACTGTACAAAAAATTTTTGAAGTCAGGGAATGCGATAGTGTTCAAAAAACCCAGGTGTCTTTATAATTTTGTCCAGCTTTCGGTAGGGATTTTTCGGATTTTTTGAAGTTTCTCCATTCAAACTCAACGAAATCGGAAGTCGTTTTATTGGATTATGGTAGGCTGACTTGCGCACTAAATTGCAAAGTTTCAGACAGATTCGTCAATAAGAACGCAAATTCGACAGTTTCTAGAGTGTCTTTATAATTATGGCCAGCACTGTAGAAAGCAACACGAAAAATGAGCATCTCCCGGCAACGGTGAACACTTGTGAAGAAGGTACCAGTGAGTAGTGAAATAAATAAGACAAACAGCGTAACACATAGACAACAACACAACAGCCATAGAAGCCTGAAATAAAGAATTTTATTACTAAAATATGGGATAGAAAGCTTAAAAAAATAAACTCCAGCATAACAGCGGATCCTTCAAAAACCTTGGACCTAAAAGCCTGAATGTGAATGTTTACTCATATAGAATTGAATTACTCATATAGAATTGCGAATATTGGAAAAAAATGAAATGATAACGTAAAAATAATAATATAGTATAAAATAATTGAACTACTCATATAGAAT